AACCGTATAGTGTCTTAACGGCCAGCTGGCTGGCTGGACAGCTTGTCGGTTGGCTGGGTTGCCATGAAAGGCAGGCCAATGGAGTCTGTGTAACCATCGTATGGTGTCTTAATCTGGCTGGTTGGCTGGCTCCCGTACAGTATTGTCTCACAGTAGAGCAAAGCCTGCTAGCTTATACCTGGCTGGTCGATGGCTGGTCGGCTGGCTCGTTGGCTGGCTCCCGTACGGTATTTTCTCACAGTAGAAGAGCAAAGCCTGCTGGCTTATACCTGGCTGGTCGGCTCCCGTACAGTATTGTCTCACAGAAGAGCAAAACCTGCTGGCTTATACCTGGCTGGTCGATGGCTGGTCGGCCTTGCCATGAAAGGCAGGCCAATGGAGTCTGTGTAATCATCGTACGGTGTCTTAATCTGGCTGGTCGGCTGGGTGGTTGGCTGGCTCCCATACAGTATTGTCTCACAGTAGAGCAAAGCCTGCTGGCTTATACCTGGCTGGTTGATGACTGGTCGGCTGGCTGGTTGGCTGGCTCCCGTACAGTATTGTCTCACAGTAGAGCAAAGCCTGCTGGCTTATACCTGGCTGGTTGATGACTGGTCGGCTTGGTGGTTGGCTGGCTCCCGTACGGTATTGTCTCACAGTAGAGCAAAGCCTGCTGGCTTATACCTGGCTGGTTGATGACTGGTCGGCTAGGTTGGTTGGCTGGCTCCCGTACAGTATTGTCTCACAGTAGAGCAAAGCCTGCTGGCTTATACCTGGCTGGTTGATGACTGGTCGGCTAGGTTGGTTGGCTGGCTCCCGTACAGTATTGTCTCACAGTAGAGCAAAGCCTGCTGGCTTATACCTGGCTGGTCGGCTCCTGTACAGTATTGTCTTACAGAAGAGCAAAGCCTGCTGGCTTATACCTGGCTGGTTGATGGCTGGTCGATGGCTGGTCGGCTGGCTGGTCGGCTGGCTGGTCGGCTGGCTGGTTGGCTGGCTTGGTTACCGTGGACGGCTGGGTTTCAGTGGACGGCTGGTACATGGATACTGTGTGGCTTCCATACGGTATTGTCTTTTGGTATAACAAAGCCTGCTGGCTTATACCTGGCTAGTCGAATGGCTCTGGGTAGTTAGTCATTATCAAAAAGTCCACTGCATGTTTCTTTTTTATTTCCATTTAAAAAAAATAAATTAAGATCCTAATACTTAAAAAGAATGTGATCCAAAATAGCACACAGTTACTTCCCTTTACATTTTATTACTGCTGACTGAACAGACTGTGGGAACATTAGTAATTCTCCAAGATTATATTTTATTTCATTTTGGAGATTGGTATGTTCATAGACCCAGGTGACATAAAACACCATTAACATGTCTGTTGGCAGATAATATTATTAGATTTTGGTAATATCTGAAAAAAGGAAACAACATGAACATGATGGATATGTTCTAAACATGCTAAACGTTTAGTGAGATATCTCAATGATTTAATAATTGAAATCATAATTACAGTGACATAATTTCAATACTTCCTTTCTGACTTAGATTTTCTCATCATGAAACTTGTGGAGTGTGACAGATGTTTTGCGTTTTATTCAGAAGCTTACACCGCTGAAAGATTTATCTTTAAAGGATTTGACTATCAAGTTAGTAATGTTGCTTTCATTAGTGTCTGCCCAGAGGATCAGACCTTATACTTGTTAGATATAGACCTTATGACAAGGAATCAGGATGATACTTTGTTTACATTTCATATTGACAAATTAGTCAAGCAGTCTAGACCAGGTAGATTACCTAAACCAGTTGAAGTCAGGGCCTATTCTCATGACGAGTCACTTTGCCTACTGAACACTTTGAAGTGTTACCTCAGCAGAACTGAAAGCATCAGAGGATCGGTTACACAACTATTTATAACTTACATTAGGCCTCACAATGCAGTGTCAAGAGACACACTGTCGAGATGGACAAAACTCGGACTTCATAAGTGCATCTGTACCCATTTCAAACATTTTGGAAAAGGCTGATTGGTCATCAGAGAGAACATTTGCCACATTCTATCACAAGCCTATTGTAAGGGACAGAGGTCTGTTTGAATCAGCAGTGTTGGGCAGTGTGATTGAGTAAATATTGCTGGGTTGGAAAAGCTGGCAGGACTTGTCAGTCAATGCAATGTACTTGTAAGTCAGTGTACACAATGCTTATGTGCGACTTATGATGGTTATATTGTCAAGGGTAGCTACCTTCACTGCCATTGTATTTGAGAACAATACATTTAACAATAAAAACTCTTTTGAACATTGCCATTCTTATTTCATATTTGGAATAAAGGTTTCCACTTATGGTGTATTCCCAGCTCATACGAGTGTATATCAGTCTTTAAAATCTCATGGAATCTCGAACATTACGTGATTAGCTGATAGAATCTAAAAGTTAAACGAGACTTACCTGTAAGTTAAATGTTGACTGTGGTTCTATCAGCTAATCTTAAGTAATGGAGGGATAACATGCCCTCCCGTGGATTCCCACCCTTTTTTCTGGGTATAAGTAATATTTCTGATACACACTCGTACTTTAAAGTCTGACTCGCGCATGCGCATTGCAATCTCATGTAATCCCTCCATTACTTAAGATTAGCTGATAGAACCACAGTCAACCTTCAACTTACAGGTAAGTTTCGTTTAACTTTTAGATTATGTTATCATTTTATTTGTTATATGCGACTGGTTATAATATTTCTAGTACTTTGCATAAGCATACTAATATCTCAAGCATAATTCATTTCTTGTAATGTACAGTTGAGAGTATTTACGCAGTCCGTAGCAAGAGTATTGCTTATCATCCGATTATTACGCATGTGTGTACTATGTGTTTGTGTGAAGCGACATGGTGTATGGACATTCTGCCCATGAGCACCACTATCTGCAGCTGGATCATAACACTGGTTCATAAACTTGGCATCCCATCACCTCCCCACTGGTTGCCGGTAGTTGTGGGCGCAAGACCCCAACAAATTTTGGTCTTCGTTTCACTTCGAGGCGACTCGGCCTCTCAGAGTCAAGGGGTGCGATGTCCTTCGATATCCGAATTCAGAGCAAGGGTGCTACCCTTACTCAATACGTTTAATCTGACATTTTAAATAGACTGTAAATATACACTTATTTTTGAAACTTTATGAAAAGAATACTTTGATATTTTTGTTTGGTCATCGGAATATCAAGTCAAACATTTATCTGCATGAACTTCATTATGTAGACCAGACACACTTACTGGTACATTTGGAAATCTGTTTCACTAACTCTCATAATTTTTATATTCCACAATGTTGATGTAATTTTGTTTTGAATTGACATAAGAATTGTTTAGTAGCTGGTGGTTTTATGATCAGTGTCAAAGAAAGAACATATAAAAGTTTGTAAGAAGACAAGTTAAATTTATTCTTGTTACTCTGAACTAAAGTGAAACAAACTTTACAGACCCAGATTGCTACCTTAATTGTTTTATTATACTATTGACATGGTTTCTACTTTCATTCTGAAATTTAAAACATCATTAATTATTGTCCTGCTACTACTAAAAAGGAACAGCCAACTTATATTTGGCTTTCAATTTGATGTCATAAATGACACACCACATATTTAACCTCTTTAGAGTGATTGATATTTACTGACTTGGTTGATGCATGTCATCGATCCCAATTGCTAGGATTGATGCTCATGATATTAATCACTGGATTGTCTGGTCCAAACTCAATTATTTACAGACTGCCGTCATATAGCTGGAATATTGTTGAGTGCGGCGTTAAACAACAAACCAACCAACCAACTTATCAGTTTATTTTTTATTTTGTCTCATTCCATCAACATAATGAGTACCGGTAGATTTATTTAATCGTGATTTGATTACCGACTGAAGTTGATTCCTTTTCATCTTTTGTTATTTTATCTGTACCCATATCTGATCAAGACATTTTCATACTATTCAGGATAGTTGTATCAGTAGCCTCCTGTTTTTATATAATTCCCTATTATCATATAGGATTAGGTCAGGGTGTTCAAGAAGTTGATTTTTGTATCAATTATTATATTTCTTCTATTTCGTGCAATATTTATATCTTAAGTTTCATTTTAATTTCGTTTAACATTCCACACATTCTTCCTTTTGTCGTGCAGGGTGGAATCTTAATCAGTTAAATAAGTGATGTTTTGAGGAAAAGGAAAGTTTCATCTGTCATTGTGCAAACTGAATAGAGTTATCACCCCTTCTGAATATTTATTTTGACATATGAGTTACTTTGTAAACTATTTTCATTTACATTGTAAATCAGGTGTCTAATGTCAAATGAACTCATGGAAAAACCATAATGTGTGGTGCAGTAGACACAACTATAACTTGTGAAATAAACATGATCGACAATTTCGAGTTCACCAAGCCATGCACTGACTGAGCAAATTAGCAAAATACACAGATGTGTTTCATGTTATGCAGTTGATATATGCTGAAGAGTTTATAATAACACAATCTATTCAGAAATACTTATCTCAAAATGCACCTTTTGATTCACTTCCAGGACCCTGACAGCAAAATGCGAATTCCAGTGTATTACAAGCATGTCTTACTTGGACCTCAGGATTAAATGTGCAATATCTTCTGTAATAGACACAGAGGATACCATTTTATTGGTTGAAATGTCCTTCAGTGAAACACAGGGACATGGAGTTCCCCTTAACAACATGCGCTCTGGTCCCAATCAGCTGATGCGGCTCACTTTGCATGGAGTTATGCTCTCCAAGCCTCGTTTTCGATCCAAGATGGCAAAAGTGTGAAAAAGGTCAAAAGCTCAGGCTTGATCCGAATGATACCTTGTTTAACAACCGTATATAGATGAATATCTTGTATATATTTTATCATGTTTACAAAAATGGAAATTAAAATTTATTTTTTTTCACTGGTGACTAACTGACTTTCTAGAATTTTTTTTTGTTGATATACAACCTCATAGAATCTCAACTTCATGTACTTACGAACGTCTGCCAGACAGAGCAATCCTGAGCCTGATTTCAATTATGTCCTTTGACAGTGTTTTCAAGTCCTCCTCGGTTGTATCTGCTGGAAGGTTCTTCACAAATATTGTCTGCTCATCTATTAAAGAAACCAATGCATAATACAACACAAACCTTTCTCATAATAGCTTATTATAAGAGTAAACGGAAAGTTTCAGTCTGACATTTTCCATTGACAAGATTGCACTGTGCTTTAAAATCAGCTTGTACATCTTAAGTTCCAAGCTGACTACACTGAGAGTAGTTGGTAAAATATTCCACAAACAGAGTTATAAATATCAAACAATAGTTATAATTTTTAATAAGTAAAATAATACTACCTCTAAAATCAGTGCCATGCTTGGGTTGAAAATTTATGGAAAATGTTACTTGACCAAGGGCAGGCATGACCAACATTCTAACTCCCCTATTTTAAAATGTACTTGCCCAAAATCAAGCTAATAAATTCAGTAAAATGTTACATCTACAGAACTAAGAATCAGAGATACAGTGTTCCCTCGCTATTGCAACTCTCAAAATAGTGCTAACTCTGTTATAGCGCGGTAATGAATGGCTCCCCAAATTTACTTACATTTTTAAGAAACTAAAGTTTTACACTGACACGATGTGGACTATAGCCTGCACCATGTCAACTTATAAGCTTGGCCACTGCTGAAAGACTGTATACACACGTTAGTCACCACTTCGATTTCGAGACGTTAGTGAAGATGGACATACACAACCAAGTGGTGTAAGATGAGGAAGTAAACCGAGTATCTGGCACATAGCGAGTTGACTACGACAGGAATATGAAGTGAACTTGGCCCCAAAGAGCCTTCCTTCACTATTGAGCCCTTCAATATACTGGTAGCGCTTACCTGGTTGTAGTGTGGTAATGCATGACTCCCAACATTTACTTACATTTTTAATAAACTCAAGTTTTACACTAACACAATGTTTTTCCCCTCATGTTAAAAAACCCATTAACAGCAAGTAACAACGTAAATACCAGTCAACAAATCCGAACTGAAGTATGCAATTTAATCCCATTATTATACTATTTGGTTATGAAAATGTGTTCATTGTTTATCTGGCCTAATGTTTGTAATTAATTTTATTCAAAAATTTCACTCAATATTTGTTTACATTCATTTTAGCAAAATCATGTGTGAAGTGATTGCCAGATCACACAACTCATCGTTATTTACAGCAACCACGGTCAGATTACCTCTACTGACACCTTAAAACAAACTTTAGTTGCAAGAGAATGGATACACATATCATAAATGTCATACTTTGACTTGTTAAAAGTCATATTTGTGGCAATTTGACTATTGTCAACATAACGTTTTCGCAATCGAACGACATGTAGCACCGGAAGTCCCTATACGATGACTGGTCAAATTGTTCCATATACAAAATCATCCTGCAATAACAATCAACTGCACCCTAGTGCTACGCTTATGGTTCTTAAATTTTCAACATTTTGTAAAATAACACGATATTGGAATATATTACTGCTGATAAAATAATAATTTAAGATACAATTTCTTTCGACCATTTCATCAAAATTCTTTGAAGTTGTATCACTGGGTGAAATAGTTCATCAAAGCTAGGCCTAACGAAGCTTCAAAAGTTGGCACTAGTGCATATTCGCATTACAAATTAAAAAAAATGCAACTTTCCGTCATTCAATTTCCAAGAAGCGTGTGCCATATATGGATGTGTTATTACGTTTTAGCAATCAAACAAGCCTGGTTCTCATTGTTGACCTGCATGTCATCGAAGAATACTAATCCTATTGGTTGACTGGTGTAACTGTATGCATAGTAGATTGCCAGTCTGGGACACAAGTGAACTATTAGCCAATGAAATATTGTAGCATGATCACATCATTACATTCTCGTGAAACTTCACCCAGTTCATTTTGTGTGCTCAACTTGTCCACTTGCATTCTTGAAAACGTATATTACTCACCCAACATTTAAACTTTATTTGGCACAGCCGTCAGGCAATGGTAATTTTTAATCCCTGACTTGGCCTATTTACTCCATGGCATATTGTTAGGCCACATTTGTTTGCATGTGGCAAGTGCATAACTATTCACACATATCCCTGTTATCATTCTCATCATATGCATAAATTCATGTTTGTGTCCATATTCAGCGGATTCCGTCCACGCACATCTCAGTATTCATATGATTTACCATGTTTTCTTGTCAGTACGACAAGCCATTCTGCATAACCATTATGTCTCACTTCTCTTGTGTCCGTGCAGTGTGTACCAATACGTACATTTAACACTCATACCTACACGTATGTCATCTAGTTTCCTAGCTCACGCTCTATGTCCCATTGATTAACACCCACAGGAAGCACTCCTCTGGTCTCGTCTGCAGTAACCGTTTTGGTTTTACTGGTCAACCACATTAACCAATACATGTTTCACAGGATTTATACTGAAATGCAAAAGAAACATCACCATGGATAGATATAACAACGCGTGTGGTCTGACATTGATTAATGAATAATTTGCGTACTCGTATATGCAAGGGGCCGAGGTATGGTTCTCAGTAGGAAGTGACAACTTGGAGAAGATGGCTTGCGGTATATACAGTTTTACTTTTTACATGTAGATATATACATACAAAAGACGCTATGTGCCAGGTCAGCACATAGTGGTAGTGGTTGTTGTCTAGGTGCCCCGGAGCACCCAGCCTAACCCTAGCTAGGCTAAGGGTAAGACCTTTCTTTCTCCTCTATCTCTCTGGACCAAGGCTTATATATAGCCAAGGTCACCTGAAATTTAGTAAGTAATAAATATAAATGTAAACAGTAAATCATCAGTGACATACTTGCACATCTCGTTCAGGATGGCAGACGGTCGATGTACACAAAAATCAAACAATAGTTATCATTGTGTATAATTCTAAGAATACTACCTCTATTACATCATAGCCACAAATTCCCATTTTTGCAATAATCACACTATAAAATCTTTAGATTTTTCGACAGACGTCCTCTTCACTGCCAATTATCCCATAGTCTTGAGGTAAACCCTATCCCTTGTCAAACTGCATCTGCGCATGCGCAAGGCGGGAAAACATCACTTCTTTCCAATAACCTTCATCGACTAGATGTAAGATATAGGCTTTTCATTTGTATGGATCTCTCAACATATTTGCGATGAAAATCTCTTTTTGCTAAAAATAAAACAAAGGCTGAGGGATATGTATACTCAAGAGTGGCATGACTCTATTTCTTCATCAAAATATCTGTCACATTATGCAAATTTGAAATCACTTTTACAGCCAGAATTTTACATCAGTAATCTCACGAATAAATCACTCAGGAGAGCATATTGTAAATTCAGAATATCGCTACACGGTTTTAAGATTAACATGCTACGAAAGTCAAAACATACAAATGAAGACTTGAGTTTATATCTATGTACCCACTGTAAAGGGAGACAATTAGAGGATGAATTTCATGTTTTGTTTATATGTTCAAAATATTCTTCTGTCAGAAACCACTATTTGCCTTGGTTATCCAATGTCCATCATGATAATCACAGTTTATGTAATCTACTCAACTCCAAAAATATCAACATTGTAAAGGCTTTGGCCTTATACTTAAATCGTGTATTTAATGTGAAATAAGACTACATGTATTTATTTTCCTGACATCACGTGACGCAGCAATTATTGTAATTGTAATTGTACTCTAGGCCACATGGCCCAAAATACTGAATAAAGAATCTTGAATCTTGAAGATATATTGGGGAGGTGGAAGGGACTATTTCCTGATGTAATAGAGGTAGTATTCTTAGAATTATACACAATGATAACTATTGTTTGATAATTCCTATGAATATCCTACCTCTATTACATCATAGCCAGTATTTACCAGAGGGACAGGTGGGATCTTGTCATCTAGTAACCCCGGATAATTGGCAGCATTAAAGTAAGGGAAAACACATAGGCACAACGGGGTATGACCAAATGCCAGACTTCCTGATTTCACCCTTGGCAAACCTGCAGAAGACTTGGCACTTGTGGCGTCCTTCCCGTTTATGATCTCATGATTGTTATCTGTTTTTGGTGGATATTTGACCTTATTTATATGATTCCCTCTCCGGTTGATGACCTTTCTGAAGTCACTTCCGGTTCTGAGAGCATTTATGATGACACTATTGGTTCATTCTCCTGTGACATCACTTGGGTCATTATGACGTCACTTCCGGTTCTGATGTCATCTATGACGTCACTTCCGGTTCATTTGTCATTGTGACGTATCTATATACTTGTTGCTCTATAGCCAACAAGCATATATACTTATCTCACCTCAGGTATGATAATGACGTACTTTTACGCTGATGAAGTGTTTCCCTTTATATTATTGGTGATAAAACGTACCCTTTTACGTAATTCCGGTTCTGAAGTCTTCCCCGACAACACCTCCGGTAGTTATACATGTTACGCCGAGCGACTAACAATGTAATAACCCTATCACCTTATGATCTATGATCCTAGATGTTAGCAAATGATCCGTCCAATCTAGTTGACATAGTGTAAAGGCTAACTTACCTTATTTTGAGGTACTTCTGGGGATCTTCACCCCCCACCACTAACTTCCACAGAACAGGGGGTGGATAGGCTACTGAGTGACTATAGCCTGGGCTGCCACCAAGGCCCCCAGGGAGTATAGCCCCTCTAGATCATGTTGTACGTCTCGTAGGTAGAAATGAGTAAACATATTGTGGGATCTCCATTGACAGCTTGATACCACTTGTTCGATGGAAACTGAATTTCATGACTTGTTGCTAGAGCACGGATTTCATGAGCCTTGCAACTTCCCCATTTTGGTGTAGAGAGCTGGGCTTGACGATAACTATCAGATATAGTGTTCTTAAGCCATCCTGCCACAGTAGCCTTAGTAATGTCCTTTTCTGACGAAGGCTTGCAAGAGATAAAGAGCCGTTTTCTTTTCTTCCTGTGGTTCTGAGTAGCTGAAATGTAGTATCTCAGAGCTCTGATGGGGCATTATAGTCTATCTGAATGATCAACTGTTTTACTCAATGATGGGATAGAGTATTGTCTA